CTAGAAGCTTTAAGGCTTATAAAAAAAGATATTTCTGGGGTTTTTTCCACCATAAAAATATGAAAAGATGAACCAGATTGAAAATGTATTTGATTTTAGAGTACATTCAATTCAGTGGAGGGCGAAAACCTGATGCTGTTTTTTCATGAACTCACAGTGAGTTTCTCCAGCCACTCCAGCGATTAGTCAATTTCTCAGGTTTACAAAAGGGGTTTACCCGTTTGACTACCCAGAATTTGCATCACCCTCAGCTGAGCTTTGAAATGGAAAGACCATAAAAACCACCGGAAATGCCAAGTACAGAGAGAAGATGGCGTGACACTGTGACATTGCCTCTTGAATTGAGCACAACAACATGAGAACTGAACACATAAACTCCAGATCCACATACGTAATGACCATCCTATACTGCAAACTGAATTCTTTGTATGGGCCACTGTACACATGGTTTACTGAATACATCACACATGTCCCAAGGCAAAGTTTGTGTGCAAAGATTAATTTATGATAGCCACAAATGTTATTACATTTCCATGCAAGAATTGCTTAGTTGGCATGATGCTCTGGAGAGGTCCTTGTGAAGTTACTGAGGTTACGGTGGACTAATGCTGAGGTCTAGAGCAATCACACCAGGCTGAGCGAATCTGCAGAAGGATAAAGTCATGTGATGCCAATGGGGGGTTGATGTTGAAGATACCACTGAATACATTTGAATATGACAATTTACCACTCAAAAATAATGCAGGAATGTATATCACTTAAAAACGTATGGCAGACTGGAAACACTGATCTCCCCACACAAGTATGCGCGTCAAGACAGCCCTCACCTTCATCCTCCTCTCCTTTGGCTTCTTCTTCTTTGGTAGCGCGCCATCTTTGTCTCGTTTGTCCTTCTTCCTGTCCTTCTTGTTGTCTTTGTCCTTCTTCTTCTCGCCGTCCTCCTCCGAGCTGCTGGCGTTCTTCTTTTTGTGCCGCACCGTCTTCTTTGGTGGCTCCAGGTTGATCCCGGCGTCCGCGGTCCAGTCAGAGTACTCGCTGGAGTAATCGCTGAAAAGCAAAGCCCGGTCAACCCCCCCTCGGTGCTGACAAACAGGAACGGACACCCGCTGTCTTTGGCTCTGTGGGCCCTGGCCTGCACAGCCGCATGCGGGGTCCACTCTAAACATCTGCCCGAGGTCGTTAAGCGCATCATGTGATAGTGTAGTGACATTTGGCGAATAATAGGGCTATTGGCTGCACTTGGTAAAACTAATTTGTTTTGGAAATTTTCTTTGTGCTCTGCACTTGTATGTACTCTGAACATCGCCCTGGGTAAGGGCATCTACCAGCTCGTAATAAGAGCTGTAAAAACAAAAATCATAGCAACAGAAACAACAACAATGGAAATAACAACAGACCAACAGAGAGCGTGCCATGTTGGACCTGCTCACCTGGAGCTGCTGTTATCATCTGGCCAAGACTCCTTCTGCTCTTTGTCGTCATCTGAGGTGTCTCCACTTGGAGGGCGTGTCTCGCCTTCACCCTGTTGGGGGGGACACACACACAAGACCTGGATGTAACCAGTCTTGAACAGGTGGCTAGTATATATCAGCAGCACACTTGTATCGTGTATGCAGGGTAATAGGAAAGTGGAATCTGAGATTTGTTAATCCCAGTATGACACAATGGGCGGATCTTACCGTAATCCTGAGAGGCTTTAAAATCATATAAATTAATATGATAATAACCTTGTATTCGCAGCCTGATGCTGCTGGCAGGACTTGCCACACCTCTGAAGGGCTTTAAGTCACACCGTGATGCTGCGGGCAGGGCCTCCCATACCTCTGAGGAGCTGTTGTCGTCTTCGACGACCTCGCTCTGCCGGCTGGTCTCCTCCACGGCCGCTCTCGTGTGGTAGCTGTGCTGGTTGCTCTGCGGCCTCCTGGGCTCTTCGCCCGTCAGGTCCAGGGCATGGTGCTGGGAAAAAGGAGGCAAAGCAGATGGAGATGATAAGAACCCAACACAGAGATAACCCAGTGCGACATGAACCCAACACAGAGAACCCAATGCGACATGAAGTCAACACAGAGAGAACCCAATGCGCAAGAACCCAACAGAGAACCCAGTGCGACATGAAGTCAACACAGAGAGAACCCAGTGCGACATGAAGTCAACACAGAGAGAACCCAATGCGACATGAAGTCAAGACAGAGAGAACCCAGTGCAACACAACGTATAATCATACTTTATATATATGTCATAAAAAATTCACAAAATAGAAATCTATAAAGAAAGCTTATCAAGGCTGAAACATCAACCTCATCATTTTTAAAGACATCAGGAATAATCTGCCTATCACTTCTGTTACAAAGTATTTTGATATGCTGATATTTTAATAAGATGATTTTGCCTAATTTCTCATTGCACAAATACCTGATCAAAGTGGAATTATTGCAATTAAGCCAATTTATTCTCACTATAAAGATGGAAGATTCTGTACAAAAAACCCAACAGCTTCATGACTGTCATGTCCTCAAACAAGCAATTTGCTCAACTTTGAGAATCGCATATGCTTTTCCTACACATGTAATTTTTACATTACATTACAATCTCTACATGAATCTGTACATGAATGCGTTGCGCCCCCCAACACATCCACACACAAACACACCCATCATGAATTTGTAGCATCACAACTGCACATTTGCTCAAGCTGTCCTCGTTGTAAAGGCTTCCATGTTCTCTCCTCCACACCAGACAACATCAAAACACACTAACCATAAGGGCCTCTCTGGCAAATTAAAAATGTAGCTAAAACACATGCAAACACAAGTCTGAAACCACTAACCACTGAAACCACTGCTGCCAAAGCCACAGCCCCAAAGCGGGCCTCTGTCTGTGCCGAATTACCTTGGGCTCTCGGTGAATGTGACTTGGCGCGGCCCGCCGCCTCCTCTCTGATCTGTAGATGCTGATCTCCTCGTCTCCTTTGGCTGCTCTCCATTCCTCCTGCTTACTGTAAATGCCAGGGAGTAAAAGGGGGGGAAAGGAAGGGAAGACGAAAAAATTCAGAATACTTAAACTGATTTGTTCCTTCCCGATAGGAAGTGTTTAGTGTTTAGTTTAGTGTTTCCAGAATTTTCTGCAAATTCCACCACATATTCCATATTGTTTAAATAATTCTAATCTAATCTTATTATTTTGAAATAACTCAGACATAAATATTATTGAACATTCCCTGTTCTTATACTGAAAAAATAAAGGGTTACTTAATGGGAAGACGGCTGGTGAGCTTTTCAGACTAATGGTCAACTGGAAGGCTACTACTGAAAAATTAAGTCCTGCTGGATTACAAACTATCTTGTGGAAAGTTAGCTCTCCTGCCACGTATAACTATAAATTGGGAGACCCCCTGTGCTCATTACTGAGATTATTAATATGTATGGCCTCCATCTGAGGGAGGAGTGATGCTAGGTAGTTACCTGTTTCTCAATTTTTTTTTAATAAATTGTATGATCAAGTGAAGTTGTGATTTCAAATCAAGACAGAGACTCATTCTAGAGAGAAAAGGTGGTGTTCATGTAAATTAATCTGAAGAATGATCAGAATGCAAGGTAGCTATGACAGCTAATTAGACAGTTAACAAATGTAGTAGAGTATCAGAATGACAGGGTTGCCAACTCTCACACAATCACAACGATGCTCACAGTTTTTTTAAGCTTGCTCTCACGGTTTCAAAGCCTGAGTGTTGTGTGAGACCTTGCAACCCTGGAGTGATGTCATGATCAATCATATTGCTAGTTAGCGTTAATGCATAGCCACTAACAGCCACCAATAATGCTTCCTTTGCTGTATTTGTGACTGCCCAAAAACATTTCTGGAGTTCCATTAACAATTCTGTAATCCTCTTCTACAACTTTTTCCATCTGCTCCTCCAGTAAACATGGCACAAATTCCTTTTGGAACAGGACACTTATTCCTATATTATTAATAGCAATGGGCATGCTCCTAAGCTTAGATTTTCAGGCCACATGTTTTGTAGCTTTTTCACCAAGATGTCTTGCATTGCTTGCACAATAAGCAGTTTAAAAAAGGAGTTGTAAGAGACTCATTGCTGGTATAGAATAAATGCAAGTGCTGTATGTCCAGACCAAAAAAATCCAAGACAATCTCATAGGTGTGCAAAACAGGTAGATTTTAGGGCATTTTCTGACAATCCTACCTGTCCGTTTCAAAATTTCATGATTGGGCTATGAAATTTTGTGAGGCTTTCTGTGATTCAACGGATGTCCCAAATCGTTATCTCACTGTCTGTGGGGGAGGGCATGGGGTATGTGGTATGTGGCATGTAAATGCAAAATGGCTAATTTGTGTTATAGGAAAGGGCTTGAAGTTGAGGAAACAACAGAGACCGCAACAGCAGAGTGTAGAAAGTGTTAACCCTGGGTATAACTCGTCACAAATCTCCACAGTACATAAAATTGAACACTGACACCATCAAACATAAAAACGATTACATTACATTCCATTACACTATTTTCTCAGCAGACAGCCTTAGGCTGATTTGCGGGGTGATTTATACAGCTTATATTTTTACACAATACGCATTTACACAGCTGGATATTTATTGAAGCAATTCGGCTTAAGTACCATGTTCAAGTGCATAACAGCACACTGCTGTAAATGGGATTTGAACATGCACAGCTCTGGTTTCAATCTTACTTCATTAAGCAGTACTACCCAGGATTATTCCACATTCCTTAAACTGCCTTCAGTTTTTAGTCCACCTCCAAATCAAGTGCGTTCGACAGTGTTGAGACAATACTTCTGCCCACTGCCTGACTGATTGCATGTCTGAATGTTAACAGCACAGGATGTTGCTTAATGCAGGAAATGCCAAGTTGTTCTGTGCAGCGCATGCTTAAGCTCAAGAATGAATGCACTATCATACGCCCATGGGATCAGACGTCAGCAGCATCTTACACCCAGCTGCCAAACTTTATTCACAGGTACATAATTGTGGCAGTGTACCACAGTGGTAAGGAGCAGGGCTTTTGACCGAAAGGTTGCTGGTTCGATACCCCACTGGTGCACTGCTGCTGTACCTTTGGGCTAAGTACTTAACGCAAAATTGCCTCAGTAAATATCCAGCTGTATGGATATTTGGATATACTTATAGACGGATAACGTGTAAAAACTGTATCCCATGTAAGTTGCTCTGGATAAGAGCGTCTGCTAAACGACAGTAATGTAAAGTAATGTAAGGTAACAATTACTTGATGACACTTGATGCAGGCAGGCAGGGGCGGAGGGTGAGAGGGACTCGTACCTGGCTATACCCGGGGGCAGCTCGGGCACCAGCACGCGCCGGCTCCAGGCCACCAGGTCCCTCTCGGTGGCGATCTCGCTCCGGGGGGCGTTGCTGTGCATCTGCCGCACGCCCTCGATCTGCCCGCTGCGCCGCAGCCCCACGTTGGGAGGGGAGTGCACCTCGGTGGGGGAGCTCACAGACCCTGCGTGCACAGGAGGGGGGCACAGAGAGGGCACCCTGTCAGGCAACACCAGCACTGCGATTCTGAGACAGAGTCACAACAGTGGCGGTGCAGCTCTACAGTAAAACTCAGATTCAGTCAAACTGCAACATGCCTCACCTTACGTTTAAGAGATGGATTTGAGATGTACACACACATTTTTGGAGCTTCATTATTATTTCTACAAGCATGGAGTGAAAAAATGTTGCATAAAAAGGGAAAAATGTCAATTGCTTAAATCTATTGGCCCCATACTGACAAATAACTGCAGGTTCAGCTGGGGTTAGGGTTAAGGTCAATATCAGTGTTGGTTCTGTATTGGTTACGTATTGAGGAATGACTACAGATTCTGTACTGGGTCTGTATCGGTTGCATCTTGGCGAGCGAGCGCAGGTTTTGTATTGGTCCCACACTGGCACCTGAGGGGGTTCAGTACCTCTGCTGGCCCGGCTGCCTGGCCCAGTTCCGGGCTCTGCTGACAGCCTCTGGTCCTGCTCCTGCTGCAGGCGCTGGATCATGCTGTCCAGCGGGCTGGCACCGTCACCCACTTGCTGGCTCAGGACTTGGTTTAACCCTGAGACACACAGACACACACAGATACAGACACAGATACACACACACACGCAGACAGAGCTGTGAGAACGCTTCACTGCACCATCGCCAGGGAAATCACGGGAAGCTTTTAAAAAAAAAAAAAAAGGAAAAATGCTAATGGACTACTTCATATAATACACTACAAGCCGACCGTGAACTTAATAATGTGAGCAAGAAATGCACGCTCTTCCCTCTGAAGCAAATTTCATTTTTGTTCATTAGTTGTACTGAATGACCTGTGGGTTCAGAGTTAGGATTCGCTCTAAATTGGACCCATTTACTTTGACTAATTCCAAATAAAAGGAGAGTAAATATCAGTGGAGAGGACAATGCATCCCATCATTTAACAGCATGAACAAAAACATGAACAGGACAAAAAGGAAAAAAATCAGCCCTCTGGACTGACAGCTGAAATACAAATAAGTGCTGTCAGAAGTAACAACTCCATATGAAATATTTTAATACAACAACAACCTGGATAAATCACAACATCTGCTTTGCGTTGATGAGGTTGATAAATGTTGGATAAACGTAGCTTCATTACCTAAAAAAACAAACACGCACACTCAGTTTAAAAATACATGACTATTATCATGACTAATTACACCATTAATCAACAAGATGCAAAATGAATGACAATTCCCTGCCAGACTGTAGATATTTTCCATCCAATCCAATTTGGATGAATACAGTTATGTTCTATTGTGCTGGATGTCTCTCTGGATAAGGATGTCTGCTAAATGCATGTAATGTAATGTAATGTAATGCAATGCAATGTAATGCAATGGAATGTAATATTCTGTCTAAGGCTGGTGCTGGTGGGTTGCAGGACACCAACATGTATGAAAAGAACAGAAGGGGAACTAGGACAGTGACATTTAGGAAACTGTAAAAATATGTAATGAATGTCTCACAGAGAAATGGAAGCTGCAGGCGGGGTACACGTGAGCTCGGTACTATGTTGTCATGTAGTGTGAAATGAAATTGCAAGAATGAGTAAGGCAGCCACAGGTATCAGATGAAGGGAAGGTGTAAATGCAGAAGTAACAAGTAATTTGAGTTGAGCCTCCGTGACTTTGGTGTTTGACCTTATGACCAGAACATCAACTGCACACTGGGGGAACAGGCAGCGGGCAGGACAACACTTGTGTCAGTTTTCAGGTAATTCCACACAAAACTGGCAAAGTTAGTCACAAGACATAGAGCCTACTTGACCTTTGACCCAGTGACCTGAAAATCAGCTGGGTTCTAGGGACTGTGCAGCAACATTTATGCCACCAGGAACCACTTGTTCAGAGATGACACAAACACAACTGGTGTATGAAAGTTTAAATGCCATTGTTTGGTAATGATAATAATGTAAACCAGATTTACAGGCAACATTGCCCAAAAGGCCCCTATATTTGATTTATACATCATGAAAGTCACATATAACAGGACACTTCCACAATATGTATATCTCATGTATTAAATCTGGTGACATCTGGTCTTAAGAATGACAGCGAAAAGCAACTGAATATTTGGCACACATCAATGACTTGAATGTTAGTGCAGATTATGAAGATAATCGGTCATGTGACCTCACAATAAATGTCAACGATTATAACAATACACTAAATATATCCGATAAATAATAGAAACAAAAAAATAATAATAATATATAATAATAAACTATACCATATTGCTGTCTCATATGGCACACAAATGCTTCCACCGAAATGAAGCATGGAGCACATATCCCGGCTTCTTCAGAGAGCACTATGCACGCTGCCACTAGGAACTGGGCATTGCTACAGGTGTTATGTCAGCACAGACTACGTCAGTTACAGATTACCAAGATTAGTGCTGGGCCAGTCAAGTCTGTCAGCCTTCCACTCACAGAAAAGCAGGGGATTTCACGAGGTGTCAGCAAATAGCGATTTGGAAGTTTAAACCGAAGCAATTTAATGCATACACCTTAACATGGCAAAGATTTCATCAGCAGGACATAAAGGAGGTGACTCTGCTCCTTCACCATAATGTGAAAACAAGGCCAAAGGCAAAAAAAAAAAAATCAGAGACCCCACCCTCGCTGGCCATGAGGGCGGCGCTGTTCCTCACCTGAGGAGGTGACGCCCATCTGCGGGATGAGCTGCTCCTCCCTGCAGCTCTCGCGCCCCGGCACCAGCCTCTGGAACCGGGAGGGGTGGGGGTTCCCGTCCACGTCCACCAGGAACGGGGGAGGCATGAGGTGCGGGGCCTGCTGCGTCTGCTCGTCCAGGACGTAGTTGTTGGCGTCGCGGATCAGCGGCCTGTAGTCCGTGTGGAAGAACATCTGATCCGCGATCTGAAACACGGAGAGGGCTGTAACAGTCACTGGGAGAGAAGTCCACCAGGAACCATGGCATTTGAACATATTCCACCTGCTGGCAGATCCTGTAGGATTTTTGTACTTGAAGTGTGAAGGCATTGGTGCATTTGAGTGTTAATGCACCCCCAGGTATGCAAATGTGTATAAGTTCAGATCCCTGCATGGAAAAAAGGAACTGGCACACTTTTGCAGAGAGGACAAAAATAAAAGCTCATCTATTTCACACACAGGGGAATATACAGTGATAAGTGTAAACACTGCGATCACACAATCAGGTGTGCAGGTTCTCCTTTCTGTGCTCATACCTGTAAGCAGGACTGGCAGGACTGAAAAGCAACTTAACTTTTTATTTTCATACCTATGCAATAGAGAGGTTTAGCAAGAAATCTATCAAGTCCAAACACACCATGAAGAACAGTGCTGAATTACAACACCAAATATTTACTGAAACAGTTCAGGTTTAAAACCGTTTAAGGGATGTGACCCCGAAACCTCTGTCTGATTGCAAAGCCAGCTCCCCACCCACTACGAAACACTACCAGGCTGAGCAGGGCACTGAGAGAGGATAGAGGCTCTACCTTGTCGTACTTGCTGCTGGAGCCGAAGCCGAAGATGAGCAGGTGTCCGTGGGAGTCCGTGCAGGCGAAGTGCTGGCCGTCCGGGGAGCACTTACAGTCGAACACTGCCCCGTGACCCTGACCTTCGATCTGAAACCGGCACACAAAGCCCTCGTCAGAGACCACTTTAGCTTCCAGAACACTCTCCAACTTTCTCTCACCTACAGGATTATCAACTCATTTCTGTTCTCTGACTCTGGCATGTCTGAATGCTGTGCTCTGAGGTTTTTCCTTTTCCCCAGGAAACTCAATTTGAGCAACCAAATTGTGAATTCAGCAAAACAAAGCCAAGAGGCTCCCTGGGGATTTTCATCCATTTAAAAGAAACCCTTGTGCATTTGTTTTACATTTCTACAGCGCATTTACCCATGCGAACAATTCTGGATAATAAGGGCTTTTACATACATCTGATATGACTGCAGAGGACATTAACATTAATCAAGCCCAAGATAATCTAGATTAATCGCATCTCTACATTCTCAAAACAATGGCATCCAAATGCGAGAACAACTGGTACAGTCACAGATTTGGCCTCAAATAACTACGCAAAATGTCAATAACACAGATTATGGTTTGTGACATTATAATTAAGTATTAAACCACACATGCCTGTTTTAAAACCATCTCCAGAAAAAATGTTTCTATAGTAACAAAGACAGGAAATTAATATTACGAACAAAATTTCCCTGCTCACTCCTGTCAAGTGCAATTTTGTATTCACTGACACGGTAACAACACTGTCACACAATATGCAGAAGCCGCAGTTTCAGAGGGGCAGAGCGAGGAGGCCTGTGTTGCTATTTACCATGTTGAAGTAGGAGCGGATTTTAACGCCTCGTGCCAGATCCCACACAATGGCGTTCCCATCGTGACCAGCGGAGAAAAGCACTCTGGGGTCAAACGGGTGAGGTTCGAGCACAAACACCTCATCTTCGTGTCCCTGCGAAGAACAGAGCAGAGCGAGGATTTCTGAGATTGGCATGGTTTGTTCTGATTATC